GGTCTTCCGATCTTAATTAAAATAGTCCGTGGACATTCGAATTCGCTTAAAAGTAAAGAACCTTCTCCCCCCCCCCCTCCTGTGAAGGTAGACAGGTTGTGCCTAAAAAAAAATGTCATAGAGCTTAGGCAGGGGCACCGAACGACTGTTTTCTGTAAATTATCTGTTCGGAGAAGCAAAAATTGCCTACAATTTTCTGTTACTAAAAATTTCTAGATGGCCGTTCCATTCATGTACAGTCATGTACAGTTTTCGTAGCTTATCTAATTAATTCCCAACGACTTTCTAAAGTTTAGTTTTTCGCATTTCAGTCCCTAAGTTAGCCTATTTTTCGTAGAAAAAGGAAATCTAAAATTTTCGCAGTCGAAAATGCGATGGAGAGAGGAATCAGAAAAATTCTCACTTTCGTAAAACCTAAAATTCCATCTAAAATTTTCGGGAAAATAATACTGAGGCCCTAAGTGATTTCGAAAAGATTCAAGTTGCCCTAGGACGACCGAACAGATACAACTTTTATAGCGCCGCTTATAATGCATTTCTAAAGATTTGAAAGTACTCTGGATAAGCGAAAAAGTGTTTTCAATGCACTTAGGAGGAAACCAAAAAGACGGTGATGCTCGTCGGAAATTTTGAATTTAACCCCTAAAGGAGACCATCGGGGCGTGGCTCAAGCTTTTTGTGACCCCTAAAGGAGACCGATCTGGGCGTGGCTTAAGCAAATTTTGACCCCTAAAAGAGACCGCTTAAAAACATACAAATACGACATGCAATGAGTTTTAATAATATAAAGACATAATCATCGAATGCTTTTATCTAAAAGTAGTTTTTAAAAGCATTGTCATAAATCTCAAGTTCTTCGCGGAACCCTAAATGAGACCTTGACGGCTTAAAATATTGGCGCTTTGCCCGGAACACCCTAAGCGAGACCAAAATCCAAAATTTACACCCCTAAGCGAGACGACGAGCATCCCGTCTGTTTCATATGGGAGTCCCCCCTCCCCTCCGGGGTTTGGTGGCCCCGCTTCGGCTTATATTTCAGTCACGTCTGCCTCTTCTCTGCCTTGCTTGGCTGTTCAGTGGGGTAGTATGAATATGGATATTTCACCGATTCTTGTTTTTTAAGCTATCCCACTGTATGCGACCGAATTCTCGTGCTTTCAATGAAGTAGAAACTCGCCATGAAATTTTAAAATACAAGTTATCGATAATCACCGACACCGGAAATCGTGACCTAGGTACGTAGGTGCGCAGCTAGAGTGACAATTTAGATGGTTGATGCTATCGCCCGAGTCGCGCCGCAATAATAAACTCCTTCAATTACCAACGTTATGTTCTACAGCTTAAAAAGTGTATCACAGCAGAAATTTGAAACACCCTGAAACACAAAAGGAACGCAAAACCAACACACACCGTCGGCTCAGTTGATGGCGGTGGGATAATAGGAAGTCATGTGGCGAAACTAATTTTGTACACATGTCTATTTCAAACAGAAATCAAAGGTGTCTGCGCAAAAACTTTCTTCACAACGGCTTCCGCGATTATTTCCTATTTTGCATGAAAAGGGGAGGGGTATCGTGAGTTATTCTCGACTCAAACTGCCGTCACTGTAAACTTCTACTGAACCAGTAGCTGTAAGTCACAAGACTGTAGTATGGCACGTTGTTCCCCGCCAGTGTTTTCAAGTAACGTGTTCTGGTATGGGTTTCCGGGGGTGTTATAAATGTAATTCTTCGAAAACAAATTGGGATGTCCCGGAGCTTTTCTGTATTCCAAGGGGGGGGGGGGGAGGGGAAGGGTGGGTTGTTGATCTTCTACAAGTGCGCGGTACACATTTTTAAATTCTTCTTATTTCTTTTAATGACATTGATTGCATCGATTATTATCTTTTCAAAAACAAAATTGGAAAAAAAAATGTTACCCTCGACCCTCGACATGGTACCCTCGCCCTCGACATCGAACCCTCGACCCTCGACCTTCGACAAAAAGATAGACTCAATGCATTGGGTTCATTTCCCGCTTTTGGAACCCAGAGTCTCAAGGTGTTGATGCGTTTATTCAAAATTGGCAGGGAGAAAACAATTGGGTGGTACCAACTCCGAGCCAAATAATCAGGGCATGGTGTCACTTTGAGCTGTGCAAAGCTAAGGGAGTAATCATACTACAGTGAGATGTTGAGCTGTTTCGCGTAGTCGCGACTACGGAGAACATTCTGTTCGCATCTTCCCGTCTCGGTTATTCTAGAATCTCTTCTTTTCGTGAAAAAAAGCTTTCAATTCACCTTCTCTAAGGGAGAGGGAAGCGAAATACGTAAGTTGTGTCTAATTATTGCTCAGATTTACGCTTTTAATATACTCGCACAACTTAGAGTCGTGATTACATTTTTATCTAAAACTATAAGCCCAAGCTTAGCTACGCAGAATTCAGATTGACGGCCGAGAACAAAAATCACGCAGGTAATCTTTTCCCTCTTCGCACTTCAAAAGTTTCAAAGTTTGTTCGAAATGATTAGTGCGTTTTTCTACTAGTGCACCCTTTTTTTGTGCGAGTTTTTATATCGCAGTGTTTTTGCTGAATGAAAATGATATAAACATGTTTGAGGTAATCGAAACTCGGCATTTCGATGCTTCAAACCACATCAGTGATAGGAGAAATCCATCATCTAAATCTAATAAATGAACTATTACTATTTCTGTTTAAGTTTTTTTCTTCAATGTTTGATATAAGTATTCATGCACGGAAAAATAAAAACTGTGCAACCAAAACTTTGTTCACCAATTTCACCCGACGTAATTTCTTCCCCAAATACGGAAGAATTTGTTCATTATTCGAAGAAGATGAGATCACATGCAAAATACTTAATTTTTGTGAACTGAACATGAAAACCAGGTCGGAAATCTTTGCGTATAGTTTCCCTCTCTCTTCTCTCGTAGTCTACTGTCTGTACTGCAGTCTTAATGTTCTATTTTTGCACGACACAACCCAATGCTATAAACAAATAACAACTCTCTTCCAGCCGTATTTCGTAGTCCGCAGTCAGTCCGTATCCTCAAGTCCCCATTGCATGTACGGTAACACCCCTATTGAATAAACGGCTGCCTCATTCGGCAATTTATTTCCTTGGTCCACCCATGCCACTCATTTTTTCATATTCTCTTCTTATTTGATTAATTGCAATTTCATTTTTGCTGTGAAGTGATTCGCAGAAGCACAGATCCTAGCTGAAATCAGCTCCCGCCTCTCGGTACTTAATGTGGTCTTTTCATATCAGGCAGTACCATTTAAGATTCGTTGTGGGTATATGGCCGTACTTGTCAAGGTTTTCAAAACACTAGATTCGCCCTGAAGAAAAACAACTCTTGCGGTTTTTCTTACGTCAAAACCTTTGTTTAAGTGAAACAAGGCCACTTATATGCAAGCTTTGATATTGCTCTATAAAGTGAGTGCTAGCTGAAAAGGAAGTAAACATCAGAACTGTTCTCTAGAACTTGCTACGCATGGAAACTGGCTTCTTCTTTTATTCTTTATTATCGTAGAAGTTTCCCATTGAAAACCATAGAAACTGCTAAACCGTCAATGATTTGAAGAACAAAACTGACAAAAAGGTTGTCTCAGTCGGTTGAGTTAAATTACACTATCGGCAGTCAAAGGATTCTTCAAATTGTGTCAAGTTATTACCAAGATTCGCCCCCCAGGGAAAACAACTCTTGCGAGACGTGTTGCTTGCGTCAAAACCATTTGTTTTATAGCGAACTCAGCCATCAAGCCGAAATGCTACAAAGGTATGACTGTTAGCTGAAAAGGAAGTAAACAGATGGACTATACCTTGGGACAACGTTGCAATCGGTAAGGATTAATTAAATTGGCTTTTTTTTCATTGGTCATAAAATTTCCCATTTTAAAAAACCGCGAACTACGAAAGTTATGGTAGAAGGGTGTAGGGTTCGTGATTCAAGAAATGTTGTGCTACAATAACTGGGGTGGTGGAGGGTGACCACAAAAAACATTATTTTGCCAAATGAATTAAATTCGCCAACGACAAGGGATTTGTTTCAGCGTTATGTTTATAAGTTTGATTCACTATCGACAGAGGATTCTAAAGAGCTGAAATCTTGATCGGGGGAGGCGACAGCTCTTTGTCAAAGCGAATTTTGTGTTGCCTAGGCCTCTTCACGACTTGCATGTATCCTTGTATCAACACAAAGTCTTCTGTACCGAAAATTGTAGCATTTACAGCAACGCACGTTAAGATTCTCTGATTACAATGTGGAAGAAACAAACACAAATTTAGTATTTTCACCTCAGTTGATTTAAGGTGAATTACGCCTCGTAAACGGAGATTAAAATGAGTGGTTTGAAGGCTAGAGTAATCTCATGTAAACTCTTGACGTAAACAGGTTTATATAAGTCCTCTTTTGTAAGCTCAGCTGACCCTAGATGTTCTTCTGACCATAGCGACTTCATAGGATTAGATAAGACAAGCAATAACGCGGTGTTATAAATAATATATCCCATCTGTTTTATTTGCATTTTATTTTACAATAATTATAAGAATTATGATATTTGCTTGCAGAAAAGATTTTCTACCTTTTAGGGAAAAGGTGAACTTAGATTTGAAATCTTTTCCTTTCATCTGGATCTCAACCCATATAGGTGAATATTTTTCTCTTTTTCTATTGCGGCTGGCTATCTCGCAATCCGCCGTCATATTTTTACGATTATAGGGAATATCTTTTCGTTATAATAAAGTTCAAGGAAATTTTGAAAATAAAAGCATTTCCTTCCCTCGTCTATACGAAACACCCCTTCCCTTTTTCAACTGTATAATAAAGAAATATAAGGGTTTTTTTCGATTTACCCGACACCTGTTACGTTGCAGGGAGATAGCCCAAGCGAAATCACCAAACCTCCGTGAAATGGAAGGCATGATAAGTATCGATCTAGTGGAAGCTGCCCTCGCTCACCGACAGTTCTTGAAGCTTGTTGATGACAACCCATGCCTTTACACCGGCCCACATGTTGAAAATGCTGTCAGGAGGTATGCGTCTGTTCCTCGAATCCAATCTAGACCGATAAATGCAAACCAAGTGATTGCAACCAGTCCATGCCTTCCCCAACCTTGAGATTGGGTTTGCATTGTGTTTCGTTAGAATATTTCGTGAGATTAAAATTTTTAATAGGTAGCCTGTCGGCTCTATAAGATGATTTATAAAATTTATTGTGAGAAATTGCGCTGTTGAGCACCTGAGATATCATTCAAAGCGGTCACCATCGTTTTTTGTGCTAGGGGTCTTAAAATGTTATAGTTAAACATATTATTGCTTTTTAAAGATACTTTTCATACTTTTTTGCGAAGTGAGAACTGTTAGCAAGTTTTTGCGAACTCACCTTTAGCTTTTACCAGATCTTTCAAAAGGTGAAAGATACTGAGGAAAATAACTTATGTCAGAAAGTATATTTTAAAAAAAGGCTTCTCCAACTCATCTTGTTCGGCCCCTTGTTTAATCCTCATTCACCTTTTTCCTATGATCTTTAGGTATGAACTGTTTTGGCTTCCTTTGCTAGCTCAGCACTCCTCCGTGGACCTAGCAGCGCCTCTAGACATTGCTTGGGTATGGCATGTACACTTGCTTTCACCTCTCAGTTATGAAAGGGACTGCAATGAAGTAGTCTGTGTTTTAGTCGACCACAGAATTCTTGTAGGAAAAGCTCGAGAAAAGGGGCTAAAAAAAGCCAGGGCATTATGGAAACAAAAGTACCCCAAAGAACCATTCGAAGTAGATTTGAATGCCCCTGTCACATGTGTGCAGGATTTCGAGTCAAGAATCCAATATGACATCAAGAGCGCTTGCCAAAGACAAAGAGTGTTTTATTATCAGGTTTCCCTGCCACATTACGGGGATAAGAAGTTCTTGGGTGAAGCAGTTAAGAGGTATAAGCACCATCTGCTCTTCAAGCAAAAGAATCAAGATGCTTTTCTTGTACCATGCTATGACTTTGACCTTATCTGGCATGCCCATCAAGTGAATCCGCTGGTCTACAGACACGACACCTTCAAACTGCTTGGGAGGGTCTTGAACCACGACGACTCAGTAAATGACCGTCAACCAGGATCGAAGCTTTTTTCATCAGAGCTCTCTACAAGAGATATTTGGAAAGCTGCTGGTATATATTTCGAGGTAAATGGCGCCACGTTTCGTGGAGAGCCACCCATTGGAAATGTTATAAATCCAGACCTTGATGAGTACTCCTCGATGGTGTCACTTCTTTACACTGTGGAATTGCTTCGTGTTGAATTTGAAGGCCTTCCAAACTCTAAATCATACACAGTCCAAATCGACGTCGTCAACGGTAAACGAGTCATTAAGAAGAAAGTAAAAGGACCAATTGCTAGAATTCATGGTTCCAAAGCAGTTGCTAAGTTCACTTTTAGCACAAAGGAAAGAAGAGAATTCGAGGTAAGATTTTGTCAGGAAGGACATGCCGTGGTGGATTTATTCAGAATTTGGCGCCTAGTTTAAGAAAGGGCGCAAGCGAAAATTTAATAAAAGGAATATGAGTAAACCATTCCACGTCGTATGATATCGCTCCTAGAAAACTTTCCATGGTTGAAAGAATGGGCACTCAGACTGCAACAGAGTTGTTAGCTAAGTGTCTTTCCAGAGTAAACTGAAATATCTTAGTTACCCCTCTGAGTAATGACAATGAGGATGATGGTAATTTTTTCTTTTTTGATACATAAAACAATGTTAGGTTATACATACTACACTGAGTATTAATGCCAACCTTTTTAATCCCTTCTGAATATAGGTGTGGATTTACCGAAAACTGTCTCAATCGTTACCTTACCTCGCCGGCGGTAAGTACTCCTTTTTGGAGTACCTTGATAGCGTTCCTTTAAGGAGCCGTGGAACTCTTCAACCAGTTACCCACGAGTTGCAATGGGCTAATCATAATCATCCCGTTCGACTCACCACCGTAGCTCATCCACCCAAACAGGACGGTTACTACTTCGCGGTGAGACCACAAAAGATATTCACCAATGTGGAAAATCCCGCTCAAATTTTAAGGTCCCCGACGTTAATCCTTTCACCGGCCTCTTTAGTTCAATCAGCGACGGCACCGTGCGAAATGTCAGACCATTTGCTGTTCGATTCCCGAGGACGACCAGCGTTTGTATGTCGAGTAATACACTCCGCAGTACTGCAGCTCTCGTGTGTTCAGGTTATCAACAATGCCCAAAGAGTTGTTAGTGTGGCGTATGATTAGGCCCTTTTGCAAGAAGGGTTCGCACCAGTCCAGTTTTTCGGTCTGTTTACGACGTGAAACCTGCACGTCCTTCCTCTTTCTCGTTATGACTAGTCAGGAAGCAAGGACTGGGGTATTTGCATCGGCAAATGGCAGGGTGTTGTTAAAGGCGTTCCTGGTGTACCTGGTGTCAGTGGAACTAAAGGAACACCAGGTACTAGCGAAACACCAGCTATCAAGGGAATACCAGGTGTAAGGGGAAAGCCAGGAACAAAAGGCCAACCTGGAAGTCTGTCGGTCAAGTTCTTCTCCCTGACTGAAAAGCAGGAGTGGAAACGAGTTGAGAAATGGGGAAATCAGTTTTCCATATATCTTCTGGGAAAGAGGAAGAAGATTAATGTTGACCTAAAAACCGGTGCAATCTCATTTCCAGTTGAGGTGCAAGATGTTCCCGAGGCAATTGCACTTGGGTTTTCAATTGCCATTCTTCACCTTCTCTGCCAACCTTATTACTCGCCAGAAGAGAACAATGGCTGCTATACTGCACCTTCAGTCGGGGAAAATGCCCAGATCGAGAAACCACGCAGAATACACAACGAAGACCTGTTGCTTGTAGTGGCTGCTGGTTATCATGCCAACTATGTACCAACAAACTCGTACATCAAGTTCACAGTTGGAGGTGGCGCTTGTGGTGGCTGTGGTGGTGGTGGCTGTGGTGGTTGTGGTGGTTGTGGTGGTTGTGGTGGCTGTGGTGGCTGTGGTGGCTGTGGTGGCTGTAGTAGCTGTGGTGGATGCGGTGCATGTGGAGGTTGTGGTGGATGCGGTGGATGCGGTGGATGATATTAAACTGACGAAATTCCAAGATTAGCAGGGTCGCAAACGCTAGTATGAAATCAGGTTTTGAATTTTTGCGTATCGCCTAGAGAGCCTGTCGAATTCAAAAGTTTGAAAGGTTTGAAACAAAGTAGGAGTTTTAACGGGAAGCCAGGACCAAAAAACGCTCCTTAGAAAACAATTCTTCTAACCCTAAAGAGAAAATCCTCGAAGTACTCCCTCTAACTTGAATTGAATATTATTCGACAAAAGTAGTAATGACTCAGAGCTGGTAGCTCGAAGAGGTATTAAGTCAGCCCCCCTTCATTGGGCCAAATATATTCTCAAATTTTTAACTTTAACCAAATTTTTTTTCAAAACAATGGCAGTATTGTAATTTTCACTTCTAACGAATTTATTGGTGACGTCAATTTTATTGTAAGACAGTAGATTACAAATAGTTACAAATAATGGTTTTTGTGATTGTCTATTGATTATCTTTCCTTCAGGTTCGATTTTAGAATAAGCCAGTAGGTTTAAAGGTGTTTAATAAAGTAGTAAAATTGCAGAAGAACGTGCATAGATTATAACAAAGCTTTGAGATTTTGATCTCCTGTAGAAAAAACTTGTTTGTGCTAGTAGAAGCCTTTTGCTAGCAGGGAATTGATGAAGACGAGAAGAGTGTAAACTGAATATAGGATGCAAACTTTGTTTTTTTAGTAGCCCCCGGTTGTTTTAATTATGGCTCTTGATGGCACAAATGCGGGGGCATGAAGTGGACTCCCTGAGGGCCTGAGGTCTACGGTATTACTTAGGGAGTCCAAAGTCAAAGTGCGAACAATTTCGTTTAAGCAAATATATTATTACAAGTAATAGGTAGTTAAATTCTTTTTCTTTTAGTTCTGTATTTCCTCTTATTTTTTGTTTTCTTATATTTTCCATTTCTTTTCTTTTAGGATTATTATTACTGTAATTTATTATTCATTTTCTTTTGTCTCGGGGATATTAGCTTCATGAGCCACACTGCAAATCCAAGGTTAATAAAGGTGATTGGATGTGATGTGATCCTATCAGTTTAGAAATGTTTTTTGTCAAGAAGGGTCTTAAACCCTGACCTTTTTAAAGATATTAATTGTCAGTCGATAGACTTTCTAAGGCGCAAATCCAAACAATTACTGACTTCCTATTTAACCCTTTAACTCATTGTCTTCAGGCAAAAATCAGGGGGAAATTGACGACTTTCATATTTTAATTAATATCTCTGCAGGTATTTACAGCAGTGTTTCAAGCTTCATCCCCTTTGAAAGAGGGATAAATTAGCTCTATAAAAATGATTAATTTCTCTCCATACATTCATACAGTTTTAAAAAAAATTCAATTGTGAGAAAATGTGAATAATTTATGCAAAAATCCAAGATGGACGCCATTTAGTCCAAAATGAAGTGTCTTTACAAGATAAGTTAAAAGAGAAGTTGTTACTCTGAATCCAGGCCAATTGTATTCCAGATTTCCCTGAAAATAAGCAAATGAACAATTAAGAGCGATCAGCATGAAATTTCTCCTGATAATATCAATGCTTTAGAAAGGAGGGTGGTCATGAGAATTGAGTACATGAATCAGGGAAGATGAGTCTAATTGATATTAGTCTAAACTCTCCCCACTACCTCTATTGAAAAAGTATAAGGACAGTAAATGAGAATCTCAATTTTGATATCAGGATTAAAAGGGTTTAAAAAGTGCAACTGATAACCTTGAATCGTCTGTGCAGCCTTTGAATGGAAGTTTTACTTTTTGTGGGTAGTTCCGTTTTAAGCATTGCTTCTAAGAGAACCTTGACCCTGCCTCCCTGTCAAGCCCCATGTAAGGGAAGCCAAGACAGTCTTGAATTCTGGATTCCACGCCGTGAATTCCGGATTCCAGCTACTTGATTCCAGTCTTTGTCAGTGCAACATGGATTCTGGATTCCAATCCTTAGTACGATCCTGAGCAGTATTCCAGATTCCAACGTCAGGATTCCGGATTCCACAAGCAAAATTTTCCCGTTTTCCTAATTTCACAAGAAAAAATTTAACGGATTCCGGAATACGGATTCCTTTATTTGGAGCGACCTGTCATTTGACAAATACTGACTTAAGGAACCCTGTCGAGGGAAATCAATACATGTAGGAGCACTAAGTCACGGAGACTAACCACTATCACCGGCGGTACTTGCCCAAACAGGCTCCTGCTTATATAAATCAAAGATCATCCAAAGAAAAAAGGGTTTAACAATAATAGGGCGTCATGCTTCTCTCCCCCTCGGGGCTCGTTGATCATTCAGTTGGGTCGGTTGAACTCGTAGTCTCTGTAGTCTGCGTGTTTTATATTCTCGAAAGGTAAATGATTTTAATTTGTTTATGTACCAACTCCGGTCGTACATTACAGCAACACCACATGAGGAATTTTCTTCTGGAATCATTATTTGTTTTTTCAAAGGCACCTTCTTGCAAACAATTTTACCGTTTTTTCTTTGGTGCTAACAATTACTATAAGCTTATTAAGTTATAGCCTGATTCTCAGACTTCCGAGGTCGTTCACGGTCTATAATTAAGTTGTTTTTCGAAAAACAATCAAAAGTGCTAAAGCCGCTTTATATTTGAACCATATACAGTGGTTTTGAATTTATGGGTCGCGCCTGGAAACGCCTGTCTAAAATTCGAAAAGGGTAAAGATTTTAACAGATGAGGTCTAGGGGTTCTGAGAGGCCAGCGGCACAGACCCAGTAAAAATTGACCACGAGTAACGCCCCCCCCCCCCCCCCCCCCCCCCCCCCCCCCCCCCCCCTCATCCCCACAAAACACACACAAACAAAAACAAACCACAAAACAGTTGGGGGCTTTATAATGCAAAACAATAACACACAACAAAAAAAAGGCAACAAAGCCAACAAAAACAACGAAACAACCAAATCCATTTACAGACTTGTTTACATGTCTAAAACAATTTCGAACTGTATAGAATAAAAGTATATGCAGAAAACAATCGAAAAGCGATATAAACCCATAATTTGAAACAAATATCAATTGATTATGGATTATGGGGAAAGACAGGCAAACGGTTTGTAAAAAGCGAAAAGGGGAAAAAATATAAGAGGAGGGGGCTGGGGGGTTTGGGGGGCGAGATGGACAAACCCCGGAAAAAAAGGCCCCGCAAGACCGCCCCTCCCCCCCCCCCCCCCGACTCCACTACTCTTCAGATATTCAGAAACCATAGCAATACAACATCAACAACGGACTAAGTTGGGATCTTCTAAGAGCTGAAGTGACAACCATCGCAAAGAAGGTGACCACGAGCAAGCAAGTAACGATAGACCTATCTCACTTTTACCAGTCCTTTCTAAAGTTTGCGAAAGAGTTGTCCATAACCAGTTCTCATCTTAGTTAAAGAAAAGGGAAGACTAGCAAAGAATCAGAGCGAAAACAATGCGTGGCATGCGACCGAAAGCTCTGTCATCAAAACAACTGATGAAGTACTGAGCGCTATAGATCAAAGGGAACTTACAGCATAAGTAAAGGGATTCAAAGTTACAAGACGTCGTGGTTTCCCATTTCGGCATCCAGTAGTTTCGCAGTTATCTTAGCAAAAGGCGCCAAGTAGTCAGGATTAATACAGCTGCCTCGGAACCTCTCCGCTTAGCCAGTGGAGTCCCTCAAGGTAGTATCCTTGGCCCGCTTCGTTTCAGCATTTATAATAACGTTCTCCCGTCTGCGGATAGGAAATGCAGTTCGCAGTGTTACGTGAACGATACAAAACTACTCGTTTCCTTTCACATACAAAACAAGCAGTCGGTTATCTCTGATGTGAACGACGATCTGTTTAATGTAAGGAACTGGTATTTCAGAAACCATCTGCTCTTGAACTCAACCAAGACCAAGCTCATGGTGTTTGGCAGTAGTCAATTGTTGCCCAGATTGCAAGACTTCAGTGTATCTCTACTACGAAAAGGTATCTTTCCTACTCAAACGGCCAAGGAATTAGGTGCGACCCTTATTTGTCATACGATGAACATATATCCAACATCGTTTCTACTGGTATGTCTCGCCTGGGGCAAACAAATCGCGTTAAACACGCATTTGATAACACGATCCTCTTGACTATCTTAAACACCTTGGTTATCAGTAAATTATACTATTGTTCAAATGTATGAGTAAATACGTCAGGGAATAATA